TGCCGAACCTTGGGCGGCAACCGGACTAGAGCCGGGACTCTTTCTAATAATAAAATCCACAAGAACAGGATCCGTGCCTAATACGGCATGCTGACGATAGGAAGGGAATGGCGAGGGGGGAGTGTCGAGAAACCATCGGTGTCGCGAGGAATCGACATAATCGGTGAAAGTAACGTGCCCACTACCTTGGCCTTAGGTTAGCGGATAAGCAAAGAACAAGCCGGCATCTCGGCTAGCGTGCGCCATAACGGGGCATGTAACGTAACGTCGTCGTGTCACTTTTACCACGAACGCATGCTCCACATACGGCGCCCGCCCCAATCGAAGTGGATTGGCTCGTACATGCGATTCGCTTCGGGCGACGACGTATGGTATTTCGTTCAGAAACGAAGGCCAAGGCCATCGTCGTCGGCGCCGTCGCCGTCAGAACGGTGCGTCGCGACGCAGCGACGTCTCCGTTATGGAATTCTTCGCGGTCACGATATCTTGCAGCATCTTCTACACGAATGTATTAGTAAAAATGGAATTTCGTAGCTCTCTTCATCCTCCTAATCACGACGCTACTTCCTAAACTTCCAACAAATCCAAATAATATCAGAGATAAAATGTGCGAATATATAAAAAAAAGAAATAAATCAGTATAACTTATTAAGTATAACTTATAATTTATAACTTATTTATTAACAAAACATTATAAATTTCTAAGTCAGAGTCTATCGCATCTCACTGTCCGATGACCGCTGCTTAATTAAGAGTTGTCTCATTCAATCTCTCATGTCCAAAAAGAGTAATCGATGCATACGCGATCATGTTCATAATACTCACAACTATAACATCGACAAGTCACTAGTAATGCCGCAACCTTGACTCTGGCTAGCCAAGCAGCTGGCTGCTAGGCCAGGAATAAGCTCGATGCGCGGTTACCATGTTGCGCTGCTAATATTAGCGTACGCAACCGTATGTACGAGTGACCGAATGACCGAATGAGCTGCTACGTTCGTTGCATCTGTCTCGTGATTTCCTTCTCGAAAATCACGGTGGACTTGACTGAAAATAATTAATTAAGAGAGTCAGTTTCTCCGATCCATCAGTTAAAGAAGAGGTGAAAAACAATGACTCGTTACAATTAAATGTAAAATAAATATACGAGAAGGTATCACGCCTTTCTTATCTGAATTTATATCATTTTAATCATGTAGATTTCAAAGAAGTAGTAGTAGTAGTAGTATATTTAATAGATCCGTCTGTATGTTTAATTTAAATCACATTGTATATTTAAATTAAATTCTAAGCAAAATTTTAAAAACAACTTTTCAAATTAAATTATAAATGAAATTTTAAAAACAACAAAGAGTATCTTATGAGACTTCATGAATTATGTCTTGGGTATCAGGTACAACAATGTACGTAAAGTCATGCATAACATTAGAGTATTCATAGCGCATGTCAGTAGGTTGCATACATAACAAACTGATCCAGTTACATAATATACGTGAGACTTATCGCCTCGTTAACATTATAAAGAACGCAAAAAAATAAGAATCACTATCTACTGTGATTGCAAAAAATATTTTCTCCGATCAATATTTGCGGATGCTATGTCAAAGGAAATTAATGCACAGCAGTTGTGTCTATCTGGAATAAAACGAGTCGGGCAACTGATGTAATGGAATATAACTTATACACCGATACATGTAAATACTTATGTACATGTTTCACGAATGGAATTGTCGGAAGGTCAAAGGACGTCGCGTCTGCCGGCTGACAGAATATATCTGTTAATTATATTGTCTCTTAAGCCGCGCGTAATCTATCGCTCATTAGGAGCAAGGGTCAAGAGTGTTCCATTCGATCACGTCTGTTTCACTGCTAGAATTAAAATTATTTGATATAAAGCAGCAAGCAATTACATCCCAATTTCTTCGAATAAATATACTTAAATGTTTTGCAAGAAATTAATATGTATATTTTTTATAAAATCAAATGGCATTATTATATAGCTCGTATCCGTCATATTTAAATATATTTATTGTAACGATCATTCCTTGCAAAAAAAAAAATGATGTGATTGAAAACCATTGTAATGTTTCCGACACATTTATTTTCCATGACCAAGCGCTGTCGTAATCGATTCGTTATGGGATTGGATATTGAATGGATCATTAGCGATCTATGTAAAAAAATATCATCTTCTCAGCCAAATTATTTAATATCTCGTGATATAATGATGAAGTGATCCTTTGTCGTAAACAATTAGTATTATCACAGTACCGATATACATTCAATTTTTCTGTTTGCAAATAACTCACGTATAAAGCTCGTCAGATACATACACGTAAATGTCTAAGAAATTGATTAAAGTATGACACACGTGTTTTTATTGTAATATTTTACCATATTTTATCGTAAAACATAACAGACATTTACAAATAAACTTCACACCATTTAAATTTATATCTTAAAGTTTATTTGGGATATATAAATTTATTTAGAATTATGGGTCGATTAAACTTATATGCATGCGTGAAACAAAATATTTTAAGAGTTACATCAGATAATTCTTCCACTTTTTTCTCTCATCTCGTACAACACCAAGAATGTTCTGGAATTAACTGCCGAGTCAAATCAAATAAATAAGATATACAATATAATAATAAATCACGTATGATAAACTTGATTCATTTATAATACTGTCCAATCCTTCTGTTTGAAAAATATAATATTTCAAGAAACATTAATTAGATGAAAATATATGCATATATCAATCTTTGTCGATATAGATGCTGCAACAGCATTATTTCACAAAATCTCATCGCATTTGTGCCGATTTGAATTGCACTTAAACGAATATATTCCTCGGACTTGAAGCAGACGGCTGATGCAACCTAAGGAATACTTTCCAGGGACATCGATGCACGCAACCGACAGTATGCCCCAAGGGATGTCATCCTATGCGGGGCGCAGAAATAAGGATTGGTCTAGAGAAGCCCCGTGGGGCTCCGCAACGGAATATGGCGTCTTCGCATATAAGTCGCAGAGTGACTTCTCGTGGCGGCTTTATCACATGAATTATCGCTGACGACCGCAGCGATGAGGCGACAGGCGACGTGGCGAGGAAGGGAGGCAGCATCTCGCGTGATTAAGAACGCCAAAGAAAGCGAAAAGGAGCAAAAATACGGAACGATAACCCACGGGGGGTCGCGTTATTACTGGAAGCTACTGACGCAATGGAAATGAGCGATAGGCGTCGCAGGGGGTCCGTGTGGATCGTTGTTATTGCCGTTTTCCTCTTTGCCCGTTGCCCCTGCCTCCTACGAACGTACCCCGCATCGTCCCGGGACCCCCTATCGACCGATAAAGACTCGTCGCCTCTGAACCTCACTTTCTTCCATCGAGATCACGCAACGTGCGTAATGATTTCAGAATTATCATGGATCGACGTCAAGAGTCTCGCGTACTCGGTCTTTCCTGACGACGCCTGATGATGAAATTTCGATACCAAATTACCGCGTACTGCTGTTAATGCTGTTGGGAATGAAGACTTGTGAAGGAAAAGATGCAAATGTCACGAAATTTCTTTCGCGAACGTTATCGACACGATTAAATATAAGCTAACAATATCAAGAGAATATTTTAAATTAGCAAGTATTGTATAAGTTTCTGAAATGTATAAAGAGCAAAAAATTATTCAAGCATGGCACAATGTAAGATAACTTAATGCAACTTTAATGATACTCTAATCAATTTCAATTTTTAATATATTTGTCCATTTTTTGTTGCATAAAATTACGTATTTTTTATTCTATTTCCTAATCAATAATATATATTAATATATAATAATAATTCGACGTTTCCTTTGCTGTTATTCTGATATTATATATTTTTTAATATTGCAAAATCTATGACATCAATTTATCCCAAACGCGTATATAATTGGACAATAACACAATGCAATAACACTTCGGTAATATCATTTACAAGATTTCCGTTAAAAAACGTATGTGCGTCATATGTAAGACATATTATCTGTGACACATGCCGCACGCGACATTAATCTACATCATAATTGTAACATGCAAAAATAAAGATATCAATCCTTGAAGAACAATGTTTATTGAATTTTTTTCTCGATATGCGTTTTCATCATTCCTAATGCGTAATAATATAAATTATATTAAATCTTAACCAATCAAATTATTATCTTTTAATATTAATAATACATTAAAATTGTGTTCTTGATTTATATTAAATTATTTTATTTATTTTTACTATTTTATTATTATTGTACTACAAGAATTACTTATTTTGCAATTTTTTAAAAAATTTTTAAATCGTTAATATGTAGATGCACGATAAATTAATTTTATTAACAATTATATCTAATTGTATACGCAAACTAACGTTTCAAAAATGCGTTACGTCGTTTAATTTGCATAAGGAAAAACAGATACAAAAATGCAATGGTATTTGTGGATAAAAAATAAAAAGTAGTCTCGTATTTTTGATAACTCTTATCCGCGGTGTACGATAACTTTCAGTCTGAACATAATTAATCGTTTACTCTACACTATTCTCTTATATCGCGTGCTTTTTTTCACGTCTGCACTTGTATCTTCACGTCACGCCTTGACCCAAAGCATCGATATCGAATCCGTCTAGCGATTATGTGTAAGCAACGACCAATAAATTCCAGAAAATTTCGGATAAAAGCCGATATTTTTAAAGATAAAATAACTATATTTGTGCAATTATAATCATCTAATGCGCTATTTATTTACGTATTGATTAATTAAATTTCCTTTAAATTGTTTCCTTGTCGAGGTTCTTCAACTAATAAGAAAAAAGTACAAAAATAATCTCAGACATAAAATTTATTTGCAGACAGAAATTGATCTGTAAAATAAATTAAAGGTAGTTCAAAAATGAAAAGTGAAACTATGTATCATATCGCTTTTTTATATGACAAACTAAATCTAAAGTCTAAATTAAAATGAAATTTAATTCAATTCATTTATTATATATTTTTTTTAATTTTTAAGTTATAGAACAACATTTACTAATCTTGTAGCGGAATGTTGTCGCTTCTTCATAGATTTTAAGAAGCGAATGTAGGTCAATCGAATTCCAAGGAAGCCTTGGATTCACATTGAAATGGAAAGTTGGCAGAATTTTACCGTTCCGTATGCCCGGTGTAATTATTCCAAGAATGTTCGTCCGCGCAAACGATGATCATACAAATTCCAAAGAATCAAGACCCCTCTTTCCTCCTTCATTTCCTTCACTCCCCTCGTTCGAATCGTTCGCGTCCACTTTGCTTCGATCAAAGTAGGTTACGGTTCTTGCCGTTTCCTCGTAAAACCCCCTACGTGCATACTAGCACACCTACTTTTATAAGGCCCACTCCGTGCCCACGTGCTTCCCCTCCTCCCCCTCGTGCAGTGTAGGCGCGCATTCGTAAGCGAATCCAGTGTGACGAGTCAGCACTGGCCAGGATTTCGACATAAATCCCGAGGTATTCCCTGATGTGGCTACCGCTAATCGGCCACAGCGTCATCGTCACTTCGATTGTCCTTGACGTTTAAATATAATTGTGGGTATGAAGAACTACGTATCCCATTGTATCTTCTCTTGCCATTGTTATTTCACCCTTACCATATATGACCAACCAGAGATTTCTTCAGATCATTCCCATGTTTTTTTTTTTTAGAATATTCTTGAAAAAAAAAGAAATATTCTTACCTGAAGGAAGTACCGTTCTTTTAAATTAGAATTATAATAAATACATATTTCTTTTAAGACATTTTATATCAAAAATAAAAATTATTATAGCTGATTAAATAATTATCTGATTATATTTCTTAAAAGTTATCCTTTTGCATCTACTAATTTACTAAGCTATATCTTACTTTTTATCACTCACTCCACGCAAATTTTACCGGAGAACCGAGTGCGCTCCCCCGGTGCGGCCCTATATTCCTAGTTTTTTCGTGAAGTGGAGCAAAGCGTAAATGTCGTAAATGCGTGTAACCGCTAGTCGTGTAGGTAAGTAGCGCGCGCATTATCTAACAAACCGCGGCTTACGCGAGAGCGAGAGCACACGAGAGTCGGGCGCTTCGCGATGAAAGGGAAATTCTGCCTTCTGCCCCGCTTCGCGGAGATCACGATGCGATTCCGGTCGTTGATCCTAAGTATTCTCCCGCCCGTGGTAGGCGAGCGATCAGCTGCAGTTTACCCTCCCCGCGTGCGGCCGGCCAGCGCGGCGCGGCCGCGCGCTGCTGCTGCTGCTGCTACTACTACTCTCGGCTTCACCGCTCACCTTCACCTCGTCTCTTACTCAACGATCGCGCACGGGCCCTCGAGTCTCTCTACCCCCGTTGCGTAATCGCCGCGCACAATCATTACCGAGTCGAATCGTCACTCGAGCGGAATAAGTGCGCACAGAACCGAACGAAGCTGGTGCGTAAAACGGCATACCGTTCGTCCGGATGCAAAGTTCACGATGGCCAAATAAACACGTGACATTTGGAGCAAATAACGAACGTCTTATGGTGTATTGGTCACGTTGAAGTAATTTTTGAAGAATAATTGTGAAAAACCATACTTGAAAAGTTTAATTTGTCAAAAAATAGGTAGAGAACTAAATATGTGTAATAGCTGGACGTATATGCGCGATAAGATTTGATTGACATGTAAATTTCGTGTACTTTAAGTACATAAAATTATAATGTTAGAAGTAGTATTTTTTTCAAGTCGATTCAAGATTGCGCTCTAGAATTGCGTTATATGAATGAATTATCACGTGAAACAAAACGTGTTTAAAATATTTCACGTGACAGCAAACATTATATTATCTTTCGATTATCGATTTAAAAAACAGCTCTTCCTGTTTCTTGCAATTTTTAAAAATTGCATATGCAGCATGTTTGCTCGCCTATGCAGCTCAGGGTTAAGATCGCATCGATACCGGAAAGCAACGTCGGGGTCGTGCGCTTATCACGCTCGTTTAAGTGCCAACTGTCAAGGACCCGGTCTTATCATTTTTCCGTGTGTTAGGCCGCTCATTAGGCTCGCTTGTACCAACAAAAAATATCAATGTTTTCACGTTATGATATTTTTCGCGTATCTCCATTGCCGCCGACGTCGCCGTCGACGGTGGCAGTCGCATCCTTGCGCGGAATGAACGTTGAACTCCGGCGATGAGAAACGCAGCTTCTCGAAATCTTACGTTTCTCGTGAATCATCCGTCGCTTGAAGAGCCGATATTTAACCGATAGTAACCGATTGTTACTTGTTCTTTCTGGATAGTAACATTTATTTATGCCTGATTCCACCAACGTAGATTAATTTTAATCTCGGTTCAACTTACTCTTTATCTTTTTCTAGTAGAGATCTTTTTCTAGTTTTTTTTTAAGAATTAGAAAAAAATGAAGAGCAAGTTAAACCGAGATTAAAGTAAATCTACGTTAGTGGAATTGGGCATTAATAAAATAAAGCGAAACACGTCCTTAAATGAAAGATATGTATAACGCGACTTTTTTAAGAAATTCAATTAAAATAATTGTAAAATAATACGATAATTACTTTACGAAATATTATTTCTCTTTTTTTATATAAATTTTATGTAAATTTTATATAAAAATATATGAATAATATTACAAGCTTAATTTAAGCTGCATATTTTACACTTGAATCTAAAGATATCAGCACATTATAGTAGTATATTATAATAATTTATCATATCGTCTTCATATTTGAAAAAGCTGCTGACTAGAAAAGACTATAACCATATCAGCATAACTTTCAACTTTATCAGTCGAGAGTTAATCAACGTAAGAAAAGTGCTGATCTATTTTGCACAGAAAGAGAAAAAAACAACAGAGGGGGTTGCATTTGAGCGTGACAAAAGTAACTGTAATATACGAAAACATGTTTTGATCCGTAATGCGGTCCACATGATATCGCCAATATCAAATACTTTCTCGTTTGCTTTTTACACGATGCATTTCATGTTTTTCGTTGAGAGATCGTGATCCCCTTAAATAACATGTATTCAAGTTTGCTCGCTCTTCATTTCATTTCTATTATCTCTTCATTTGCTTTTCTATTCAACTCACAATTATCTCAGTTACGTTTGAATGTTCTAACAAGTAAATAGCATTATACATTATGTTAATATAATACATATTTAAATATTTATAAATGTATTTATTTAATACTTCCTCTAATAAATAAATAAGAAAAAAATAGCTATATATGTATAAAGTTATAAAACAATAAAAATAAATTTAGTAAATAAATTAATTAAATTTAGTTGCTAAGAAAAAAGAGAGAAAAATATTTTTCTTTATATTATATATTTACATAAACTTATAATTTTAATTAAAAAAATAATTTAAATAACAAAATAACTATTAAATAGTAAAACAAAATAACTAAACAATCAATGTAATAAGCTGAGCGGCAAAAATTGAATAACTAAAGATAATGTGTGTGATAAAAAACAAATTGCTCATCAAAGTTATGGAAGTTTGACCATTATTTAAGTATTATATTAATAGTAAGTAAACCAATTTTAAAATTTCAATTTAAGAAACAATATATTCTTTTTTCAACACAAATTTGCAGTTTGCAGTCAAGATGGATTTTAATCGCATGGTCATTAATCGCATCAATAATTAATGAAAAATTAAAAAAGAGATTGATGAAGATGATTTTATATGCGAAAATTCTCGTATTATCGAAATCTTGTATGATACCATCGACCTCACAATGACCTTTGAAACCTGATAAAAAATATATCTGATTTATCGAGCATTTTATAGTAGGTCGCGTGGGGTGCAACATCTCCGAGGATTCCATGGTATCTTTCCGAACTAATATGATATATTTAATTGATGCAAGATAAAAATCGATTTCAATTAAATAATCAATAAGATTATTGGCTATGATGATAATTACCTTGGATTCTGAATATTTCAACGTGTACACGGTACTGATTCGAGTATAGATTAATTAAACAAAGAATAACATAAAAAAACGATTTATAAAAATAATGATACACACGAATCGATTTTTAAAAGATAAACGCACAATTTACATAGATAAAAATACGATTTAACAAAATACGATTAAGTTACAGTAAACATCTAAAAATATATCACAACATATAATTTTAATATTTGAGAATCAAAAGTAAGATTTTTCTAAACTCTATTAAAAACTTGAGAAAAGAAACAATTTTCTTGACGTAAAAAAATTCAAAACAAATTATTTTTTTTCTCGAATTACAAAATTTGTATTAAATTGTTCATTTTTAATAGAATAATTTAGAATGTTCCGCAATTATTGTTATATTCTACCAATTGATGATGATGATTATGATGATGATGATGATGATGATGATGACGACAAGGAAAGCGGACGGGTGTGACGGGGCGCTTCGTTATCGTTATCAGCGCGTTCTCCGCTGACAAACATTGGTTTAGTCGTCCCGCATGAAAATACACAATCATTATCATAGCGTACGAGAATAACGATGTTTATGGGTGGTACGATGGCTGCGTCAACCAATGGAATTCGTCGTTGCGATGCCTTACCCCCGTACACGTGACCCCTTAAACGGCTACTACGTCATTATCACGAGTGACCCCTTGAGGGCAAAATAATACGATATTTAATAACGCTTTGGCCGAAACATGCCAGCATATTTTTTGCGCGCACGCTATCAAAATGTGACGTGCCCTCGATTATCTCGACGTGCCGTAAATCACCCGATACATGGACCGCCAGCTTCGCTTCCACGTGGCACGACGACTTAGGGATGATTATAATGTTTTTCATCTACGTCTCACTTCGTGTTTTAAATTAACACTAATATTCATAAATTGAACGTAACTAGAAATACTTAATGTGTACATAAAAGATTTATTGCTAAGCAATCGTATTCATTGTGTGTCTATTTTGTAATTAAATTTTAATACAAAATATCGGATTTTAAATTAAATATTAAATTCAAATAAATTTATATAGCAAAATATATTTTCAAGAACATTAAAAGTAAAAAAATTATGACATCTTAAGTATTTTTAAAATAATCAATATATTAGAGTTAATATCTCAGCTAAAAATAAAAAGAACTTCAATTCAATT